CCAACATCCTTTTACCCAACCTGTAGCCACATTATCAGCACAACATCTATCTGGCGGACCATACCATTATCACAGTTCATGCTGTTTTCACAGACTATGCCGTCACTTAACATGTTTGTAAATGCTTCAGTTTTCTTCCCAATACCAAAATTATGGATCTTTATTTTCTTATATCAATTGCTTCCACACAGCATGCCAGAAATGAAAAACCTAATGTTCAAAACGCTAAATATAAAGCATGAACTTCGGAAGCAACAGCAGTTCAAAAGCTATACTGAAACAGCCGAAGGGCATTTTTGAATGAACAGATCACTGCAACACTGCGATTGCATGAACATGAGTAACCTGTTTGTGATGCTTATTCTAGTTATGATTACATTCAGGATATGGTATTTACATGAGCACAGAGAAACTGTGTTATTAATATTCCCCATATACATCTTTAAGAGTACTCCAGCTAACACATTCAGGTTTCTCACATGCTCAAACACATAAACAGAACACTCCAAAAACTAGGGTTGAGCTGAATACTTGGATGAAACAAGTATCTGCTACAGATAATGTACTTTTTATGAGCGTGAGTAGCCTATCATATGAGTAAAATGTGTCATTATCTGATAAAGGAACATCCGCATTTGGGTAGCTATGTTTAATCCATTACTCTTGTGATAAGTAGTGATCTGAAGCTCATTTCTGAGGCTGTTCTCTAAGTACTTTTCTCATGGGTAATAGATATCGCAACTTCTGATCAGTCCATATAAATTTCAGGCTTGAAGATGTTTAAGGTCTTTCAGTTACAGACATATACAGTAAAAAGGGGACTTGTTTGATTAATTTTGTTTCGTGTGGATACAGAACAACACGGAGCAACAGGGAGAGAAAAAACATGTCTGGACAAGTGAGCAGACGAGTTTTTTTTTTTTTTTTTTGTATTTGTGCATTCTATTTTTACACATGTGGAACCAAAGGCCACATTTTCTAATCACTGGCAGCAATTTAATTTTGCTAATAAGCTTTTACTGCAGCAATTTTCTCTTCTACTGTAACAGGGTACATTCAAAAAAGTAAATGACTGAAATGAAAAAGTATAGAGTGGTATACAGTAAAAGAAAACAGACTTATACATTTTTTTGTAACGCCATCACCTGTTACTTTGTAAGTTGTTGTGTTATGATTGACTATGTTGCTCTTGCATAGAAAACGTTCTATGTTGGAAAGCATGATTTGATATTGAGGCAGATTGGCCATGTTATGATAGAGTTAGTTCATGCAGGCAGAGGTGGGTTTTTTTGCATATCAAAATGTAGAGTTGGTATTCAATGAATAAAAGTGGGTTTGGGGCAGAAAATGAACTTTTTGGCTAACTGTGATGTAGGGGTGTTGCTGTGTTAAGAGTTTAGAAAAAGTAGAAGTAAGAACTTGTTAGCAATTGTGGTAAACTGTTAGTTAGAGATTAAATGTAACAAAAATCAGGTTTTAGGGAAGACCAAAAAAAAAGTGTCTTTGAATATGAGATATCACTGTCAGTACGAAGCACAATTTCCATATCACTCACATATTAAATGGATTTTTGTACAAAAGTATTTTACTGCAAAAGTGGTTCAGTTGAAAGATGTTTTGACACATTCCTAAATAGAAGACGTGCAAAGCAAAGTCAGGCTGAACGGGAAATAATAGACCTGAACTCATTTAACTTCGTAATGCGAGCTCTGAATGATTCTGAGGAAATACAATACTACAAACGCATGAGCGTCGATATCAGATATGAAAGTCTATGATGAATGACTCATTTGTTTTAACCAGCTTTGGCTGAGACTGTCCCAGAAACACCAATCAGGGTTTTCTGGAATGATATGACTATGCTGAATCCAGCAACAGGCCTTTATGATGTGTAGCCTAACTGTGTTTTAAGCTAAATAAAATTATATATATTTTACTTAATTAATGTCACTTCCTTGAAATAATATTGACACACCATCTTCAACCAAGCTCGATATGGTCTCTGTATAGACTATACTAGTCATGTGATTGATTCAGCTGCCTGGCAGAGGGTTGTAACCAAGCTCCACTGATTTTAAATCTTTTTCAAACTATGTCAAGAATCAAGTCACACTTAAACCTCCTACTGTTTTGATGTCACACGTTACTGACAGGGGACATTATTCATCTGTACAGTGTTTCCATGTGACGCAGAGCAGATAATGTGATTTTGATGCTTCGCAACAGCAGAATAAAGCCGCCACCACCCTCCACTGGTCTACTGTCTGATGATTGTGTGCAGCTGGAGCTGTCCACCTGCTCAAGGTGCTGAAACAAACAGACTAAAACAAACACCACGGATCCATGGACAGAGGCGTACGCATTATTCTCCCAAACATGCAACTTTCTGTCATCCGCATGTTCAGCAGCTGTTTGATGCTGTACGAGTACATAATATCCAGCTCATTACTACAAGATCTCTTTTCAATCTCAGCTTAGAGTCTCCTGAAATATTAATATCTGTATGATACTCGAAGATGACCAGCATTCATTTGTTCTCTATTCTTGGGAGACTTGCTGTTCACTCTTACTTCCAAAGATCAGATTTTAAAGTGAAGGCACACTGAAAATCTTTAGATTATCAAACACTTAATATAACTTTATTGAGGTCATGGATCAGGGGTACTCAACCTGCTTTCCCAGGGGCAACTTTTGCAAATGACAGGAGGCCAGGGACCAGTTTCTAGGATTTGTGGACCTTGTGGGCTGAGCCATGACCTCTTTCTGGAATTTTAGGGGTTCTCCTCTGGCAAGTTTTGACAGTTAAGCTCCATTCTGATGCTTTTAATGCACTTTGGCACCTTATTTACATCCCAAAAAAGGCATTAAAACTAAAAACTAAAAATAATATATGTAAGCTACAGGCTGATTAAACCAGTCAAAAAGGAGTCACACCTGAGTCCACCGCACTTTCAATAAAAAACTTACATTTAATATTAAGAGCCTGCCTTCCTGCTCCTTATGTGATCAAAGGGGACCTGGTGGCAGCAGAGCAGCAGCACAAGTATTTCGGCACTGTCTTAGACGACAAGTTGAATATGTATGTGAACACTGACAGCATCTGTAAGAAGGCAAGCTGAGGAGTTTTGATGTAGATAGGACTATCAAGAAAATGGTCTATTCTGCTTTTATCGAGTCTGTTCTTTCTTTTAACATTGTCTGCTGGTTTGGTAATCTCAGCCTTAAAAACAAGAACAAGTTGGAAAAAATGGTCAAGTTGTACTGCAAGATCACATCACACAGAGCATCTATATAAAGAGAGGGTCACCTCTAAAGCTCAGTCTATTGTCTCAGACTCTCAACACCCCCTCCATGTTTCCGATGCTCCATGTTTTGCCTCCCTAAATGCAGCACTAAGCATTACAGATCCTCCTTTGTCCCATCTAATGTCCATGATTTACCCCTGATACTGTCTATTTTGTTTTACTTTTGACTACTGTCTGTATCTCAAACTGCCCCTTGGGGACATTAAAGGTTACCTTACCATACCTTATTATGCAGAAGTTTATCTGCACAACCAGATATATATTTGATAATGTATATACATATAAAACACTCACTGCCTGTTTGATTTAAAGATTTTGGTACAAAAAAGTTTGTGATCTTGATCCTGTCAGTTCCAATAGATTCAACCAGTTTGACCAGTTTTCAAAGCCTGTTATTGTTGTGAATAAGGATTTTCCCTGAAAAACTTTGCAAAATTTCTAAGAAATCTTTTCAGAAGCAAAACATCTCTATTCATTAAATATTCATAAATGACAGCTTGGAAAAATGACAGAGCTCCTCTCTTATTGATGAACAACACAAATTGCCACCACCACTGTCATTTATCCTCGGATGTGATGATCTGTGTATGTACTGACCTCAGCTGACATATCACTAATGTAACAGGGCTCTCTTTGTCTTAAATAAACACAAACAATAACACCTTTCTCCACATGAAATTCTCCTTTGTGCATACTCACTCCCACCATATGGCACGACATATTCTCCAGCATGCTGCCATGCAAATGCTATGCACGAGCGACCCATTAAAATGTCAAAAACCCATTAGAAATCTGGCATTTTAAAGGCCACTTCCCTTCATCACAGTCAGGTCCAAATGGCAAGAGTTGTAAATAGCACACTGTTGAGTCTGCTTTAAAAATCAGACAAATGCAAGTACAAAATTCACCCTGAAAATGTGTGTATGTTCAGGAATATGAATGGCTATGCAATCATGGGAAAATGAACTCAGCATATGAACAACTATGACCTCAGTTTACCTCAGGAGTGTTGTCGAAAAAGCTATTTTAGGAGGCAACAGAGGCTGTCAGAGTGTTAAACATGCTGGATATGTAATTAGCATGGATTCAACAGGTCAAACTACATGTTCACGTGACCAATAAAGGCTTTGTCTCTGTGTACATCCAACAGAACAACAGGCTGTACAGCAGAGAGAAAATAATGGTCACAGCATGGCTGGACACCCAAATATTTATTATTGTTATTATTATTATTATTATTATTATTATTATTATTACAACGAGATCTCCTAGGGCGCTGATTGAATAGATCCCACTCAGCTGACTCCATGAGGAACAATAGGTGTTAGTGAGCAGATCTGTTTTGGGTGTAATAGTCTGACACGTTGCCAGAAACATCCTCATCCCGACCAACCAAACACAACACTGCACCATGATGCAGGCAGCTTTTACACATCCATAGCCTATTTCACCTACTTCTTAAATCAGATTTATATAAGAAAAGACGGTTCATTCTTCAATAACCAGACAATTTTCGGCGACTCTGTATTACCCAGCTCACTGCAGCACTCACAACAGTCTGCACACCCACCTTCCTCCAGCTCTGTAACTTGATGAAAACGATTGCGCCATAAATAGCGCATTAAACCCCTCCAGTCCACGTTTAGATCACAGTACGGATACATGACTTTAAAAGAAAAAAATCACATCGCTCACCTCAGAAAGCTTCCTGATCGCTGGCGTCTGCTGATGATGGGGCTGATGCTGTGTTTTTTTCCTCCAGCACCAAGAAACAAGAGAAACTCCCACCTGCTCAGGGGCCGTCTGACAATTAAACACCTGAAGGCTGCTAAGGGAGCGTCAAGTAATGCTGACACTCCCATATGTTGTTTTCTACTCTAATTTAATTATCATTATATAATTATCTTTAATATCATTATTTTACTACTGAAAATATCATTACATTTCTAAAGCCTAATGATACCAGCAGTGTTTAAGACCATGCTTCAACGCAAGGTAAGCAAAGTCCGGATTTATTCCGCCTGCTGAGTATTAGCAAAATATGATGAATCTATAACACTAATGTGACAGCACTCTAGACTAAAAGGTGAAACAATTGAGGATGCAATGCCACCTACTGGAAAACTGTCTTTCATGCATTGTCCCAAACTTCTGCAGTCTGATCAGCCCAGACAGACTAAACAAAGATATTTTAAAAACTACACAACAGTATTTAAATGAGTTAAAATAAGCCAGCTACAACAGCTGCTCACACATTGTAACATGGATAATAATATTAACATAATAACCAAGAATATAACATGCATAGAGATCTTTATGTGCAAAATTTAAAGTACCTTTAGAATACATTCATTTAAAGTAATTCAAGAGTGTGTTGACCAGGTTTCTGTCGTAAAAGACTTTTTTTTTTATCTCAGTGGCACTTCCTGTTAAAATAATGTTTATTATTTATTTATTTAATTGGGTGGTAAATAGATTGGGGATAGTTGTATATTAGTTGTAAATAAATTTGGGAATTTGTTGAAATGATATATGAATTAAAAGTTAAAAACACTGTTATTTTGGTCTTGTCTTGTTTTTTAAACATATTTTTATTGGCTTTTAAACAATACATAAACTGCTATACAACAGTTTATAAGAAAAAGAAAAGAAGGGCATACATATGCACAAGTACACATATATATGCACAGAGCCTTCAAAGGAACAGGCAGTTGAAGAAGATGAAGGGCTTATCAGGGTCCATCCGATTGGCTACAAGATGTAAAATAAATAAATAAATAAATAAATATATTAAATATGACTTACTTCAGATGGAGTTATCAAGAAAGTGGGGGTTTAGAGTCTGGCTTTTTATAAATTCCAAGAATGGATTCCAAATTCTCCTTAATTTATCAGAAGAGGCATTTAATGTGAGTCTTTGTTTCTCAGGCTTGAGACATCTTTGTTTGTTTTTTAGTATGTTAATTTTTTTTTTTTGTCTCGAAATAAAGTCATTAATTCACTCATTCAATGTAATAAAATAAATACATAGAATTACAAATAATGCTATTAATAGGCTACTTACATAGGTGACACTTTTACATGTGATTAAATATTTAGAAAGTGATTCTATATAAAAGTATTTTTTTTAAAGCCAAAAGCCACTCAAGCCAAATGCTGTGACAGAAAAAGAGAAACGTTTTTCTTAAATTATTTATTTTCACACAAATAATTTTATTATCCAAAAAAGGGGGGTAAAAGAAGTCAGATGACAGAAACGGCTGCAAAAATACACAAACCGTAAAATAAAAATGTCCTAATCTGAATAAAGTGCAAAAACAGAACATGCATTTCCAGAATTTTTGATTAAAGGTTTTGCAGAGAAACATTGTTATTTTAGATGTTTTCCTAAATTATTACGCTCAAACACCATCCATAAAGTGATGGCACTAAAAGTTCAGCATAGAAACACTGTTATTATTCTTTAGTTTATCTGGATGTGGTCTGAATATCCAACAAAATAAAAGGCAGGAAAACTAAAGAATAAAACAGAATAAAACCAGACGCATCCAGACCAACAGGCGGCGGTAGACAAAGAGCACACACCCCCCTGCTGAAAAAAGGACGTCGATGAGGCTCAAGCCAACAGCACCTTCTGTGTGTCTGAATGACCGTGCCGAGCTGTGAGCCGAGGCTCCTTGGTGCTGAAAGGACAGCTCCCCCGCTCTCTGACATCTGCAGGTAGGCAGCCTGGACTCCAGCTGAATGATACGTTTCATTGCGTCGTCATGGAAATCAAATGATTGACGCCATCATCTGTTTTCTGGAGACAACAGAAAACACGGAGGAGAGGAAACTGCGATAGTTCTTGATTTGTGCTGTGTGTGCTTTGTGTCATCTAGGGCATCCATCGGCCTACAGTAGGGCTTTCCATCGTTTTCATATATGAGCATAAAGACCCAGATTTAGGTTGTGTCTGTGGGAGCTCCTTCCTCCCTTCTTTCAGTGCTGTGATTGTGATGTGCACATCTGTTAGTGCTGTAGGTTAGGAGATCACAGAGAAAAGGGTGAGATATTCTTGGTATTCTCAGTGGCCCCTCAGAGTCCCTAGACCCTACTGTGCAGAGAAATGAGTTTTTCTCAGCAGCAGACTTAAATTCTCTTTATTAAATGAGCAGCCGGTTTGTATCTATCTGACCTAATAGAAAGTGTGCTACTTTCTCCGAGATGCTTCATGTAAATAGTCTCTGTTATCTGCCAATTTCCATCAGAACTAAAGTAATCTGCTTTGGTAAGAGAAGAAGATACAGTAAAGTGTACTGTAATATAAATAACATGTTGAAATATGTGGCTTGTTAAGAATTATATATGCATATGAGGATGATTAAAGGGGCATCTATTGGCAGAAACTGAATACGATATTCGTAGTTAGATTGTCATTAGTGTATAATCACCTGAATCTAAGAATCATTGTGTTTTCGTAACCTTAGAATGAGGCCCTTACATCTACAAAGAGAGCAGGACCTCTTCCACAGAGCCCGCCATGTTGCACTGCCATGTTTTTACAATTGCGCCAATAAAGGATGCATTTCTAACACTATTTATTTACACTATACTTACAGTATCATAATAACAATGTATCTGTCTACTTCAGTCTCAGAAAAGTGGTAGGATAGTATTGCAGCTTCCAAAGATAAATAGCCGCCCACAGACACCACAATGGGAGATATGATGAACTCACTGTCTTTGGTTTAGTTTTACTGACTAAATGTGTTTGATGATTTCAGGGTGTTTTGGTTGGTTTTAGAGTTGACAGATTTGCAGGATGTATGGAGAGTTGCTAGTAGCTATGAACCTATGACTATTGTGTCCGAAGAAAACAAACATTCCCCAAATAAACAGGGCTTTACAAAACCAAAGTTCAAAACAGCGGGGTATTAAACGACTTCATCAGACAATAAAAACTAAGATGAACCAAAAACACGGCAGTTGAAGACCATAACCCTGTGGCGTCTTCCACGCTCCACCCTTAATTTAGCACACCTGTCTGTAATTACAGATTCCTGAGATGCCAGATCAGGTGGTGCATTACAGTGACTCAAAAAATAATAGGAAACTAGGACTTGCTAGTAATGGGTCTAACAGATAGTAGCCGAGTCCACAGCAGGCCCTTTGTGTCCCCCCACACACCTGTCTTGCGGGATAATCTTCAGAATATTACATGTAAATTATGTTCCCGTCTCATCTTTTTAAGTCTATGGTGTTTGTAAGAGCACAAGTCTATATTCAACTTCAAGCTGTCTTTGATCGCATTTGGGAGGAGTATTTGTAAGTTATTACTTGGTCATATATGCTGTACTTAGATGTTGATAGGACACTCAGGAAGGACATCCAACTGACAGCCAGGTAACATTGGTGATGTGGGTACAACTTTGATGAACCATAATGGGACATCTTGACTGGATGTCCAAACAATGATCATTGCTGAGGAGGGGTATTCAGTTGATTGCAATCTGCAACATCACCACTAGATGGCACTAAATCCTACACACTGCTTTAATTGGCTGGTGGAGCATGTTTTTCTTTACTTAGACAAGACAGGATATATTTTATTAACCTAGTAAATCTTTTAAATGTCAAACTGCTGTGACACAGTAACTCCTCTGAGCCTCTTGCAGTTGTCAAAAAGTTTAACGAACATTTTCCTTTCTGTGTCTTCACTCTCACACAGACATGTTCACCCGGATGTTAAAGCTGAGGCTCCTCAATGCTGTAGCACCTGCCTACTTCTTCATGGCTACAGCGGCCACCTTCGTTTTGCACTTCTGCTTTTTCATCCCAACAATCTTCCCAAACCCGGACACATCACTGAGGGGGTCTACAACTCTTCACACAGTCGTTTTCCTTTTCTTGATGTTCAATGCACTGGGAAATTACATAATGACTATTAAGTATCCCGCTGAGAGCACCAACGAGACTGTGGTTCCGGTGTGTTCGGCGCACTGCTCAGACAAAGTGGACGCACACTACCTCCTGAACGGTCGCCACTTCTGCAAATTGTGCAAGAAAGTAATTCTCAAGAGGGATCACCACTGCTTTTTTACCGGAAACTGCATCGGCAACAAGAACATGCGCTACTTCATCATGTTCTGCATTTACACGTCGTGCACCTGTTTGTACTCCCTGGTTCTTGGTGTGGCCTTTCTAACAGTGGAGTACTCCATCTCCTTTGAGAACCCGCTGACCTTCCTGACTCTTCTCCCTCTCTCCACTGGTTACTTCTTCATGGGTGAGCTGTTTAACAATTCTAATTAAGGCTGATAATTCAAGATACATGTTGACTTCCTGATTATTACATTTTCTTTTTTAATCCTTCCCTCCAGGAACAATCTCAGGCTTGCAGTTATTCCTGGTGCTGATGCTCTACGTGTGGCTGGGCATCGGCCTGGTCTGCGCAGGCTTCTGTTGCCAGCAGGTGCTGCTGGTGGCCCGGGGACAGACCTGGTGTCAGATGCAGAGGGGGCAGCTTGTGGAGAACCGCACGCCCTGGAGAAACAACCTTAAGGATGTGTTTGGTACCCGCTGGATCCTTGGCCTTATCCTGCCTGTGCAGACTGCACAGTCGTGCTCTGAAGACACAGATGCGAATAATAAGCAAGACTGAGTTATAACGTGTCATATCAATAGCTCCTTATAGGTCACACAAGCTGAACAAGTTGTAGAGAATGCTTTCTTGGGATCCATATGGTGATTGATTTCATATTAAATGGATACTTTATGACTTTTAAAGGAGCAGTATGTAGGATTTAGCGCCATCTAGCAGTGAGGTTGAAAATTGCAACCAGCTGAATACCCCTCACCTCAGTCCTTCCTGTACAAGGTTGCCTGATATCAGACAGAACTGTCAACTCGTTACACTCCTTTTCCATCTTCAGTCTGACATTGCCTCCACTCTGACAAATTTCCGTGGGAGAGGGGGATTTGATTTTACCTAATCAATCACTAGACACCAATGTATCCGCCTGAATCTAGCGTCATTTTAAAAGCCAAAATACATGGAGCACGGATGCAGAGTGACACATCTTCAGCATGCCCACAGCAGCGTGTCCATTTTGAAATTAATTAATCAGATCGATGCATCCTGTAGTTAAAACAACCCAGTTAATAATTTAGTACCAGTTAAATAGCATATATATATATATATATATATATATATATATATATGTATGTATATAACATTATCACTGCATTATCACTTGGTAAAACTTACTACACACACAGTCTGGCATGTAACCACATGCTTCAGAGAAAGATTCTGTGTAGCAAGTAAAGATCCCTGCTCTGCCCCCGCATATGTAACACGTTGTGTCAGTGCCCAATGTATTTTGGCTGTAATTCCACACTGATGCGTAGCCATGCCAACATAGTGGGTTTGCCGGGTTGTGTAACAAACTACAATGTTGGGCAATATTGAGAGTCGACTTTCGTCAACTCGATAGCAGCAGTCTGTCTTGTCCATATCTGTCATCATTATCATTACTCCTGATTGGTTCCAGTTCACAGCTTGACAACTGTGCTAGTCCTGACCATGGCGCTGATTGACTAGTCCCCCTGTGCATCTGCTGGAATCTGCTGTCTTGTGTCAAAATGCCAGGAGAATCTGTCAACTCACTGACATGGGCTGATTCAAAGGTATGGACCCAGGCAATTTCCTATTGTGTAGGTGAACCTATGGTGCATTGGTCTACAGGTGCATTCATACCACCAAATCCAAGTGGCCACCTCAGTGTAAAGATGCGAAAGTCTCTTTCCAGAGCCACAGTGTCTTGGTTTGTCTGCTCTGGGCTACTGTAGAAACCTTGTGGTGTAACATGACGGGCTCTGTAGAAGAGGACTGGCTCACTACTGTATGCACAGATGAAGGGCTCATTCTAAGCTAACATGAACGCAATGATTTTTAGTTTCATACACTAAAGAGACGATGACTATTGATAATATCTGTCAATAGATCCCCCTAAATCCTACACACTGGTCCTTTAGAGAGGTTCATGAAATAGTTAGCTGTTAGCACACATTCCTTTAAGGACAGGAGCCATATATCAGTGTGAACTTTTGAATAAGTGCATAGTCTAAGTGTATCCTTTAAGTAAGTAGCTTGACAAGGCAATATTAGGACTAATAAGTTGGTCATATGGGACATCCAGCAGTTTTACATGCACTACTACATGTTTGCGTCTAATATATAAAGATGGCTTTGCATAAGTGCATGCATTCACAGCTTTGCTTCCTTTTATCTCGCTACTGATTTGAACGCCTGCGCCACGCGGTGCTCTGAGATTACCATTAGAAGTGTGTTGTTCTCGCGCGCTTCCTTGTAGGATGCTACGTGACATTCAGGAAACTTACAGTAGTTTTCACAATAATTTTCTTTGACGTTAAGGGCTAGCAGACATGGAAACTACAGTATGTGTCTACAGCGTAAACTGCCGGGCTCAACACCATTGTTCTGACAAAAACTGTTACATGTGGAGCCTGATTTCTACTCAAATGAATGTGACTCAGACAGTACAATATAATGGGGGGAACGTGAAGATGACAACCGTATTATTATCCAGGGTATTGTTCACAATGTGCCATAAACACATCTTTTATGCTTACAGACGACCCCAAAGATGATGTACTCACTACACTGCTAACGATAGGGCCCTCTGTACAGTAATAGTAAGGACTTTTCACTGTTATGCTGCTGCTACAGCTACGGACATACTCAACATCATGTCAGAGATGTTTTGGATTTCAATAAATATACTTTTTAGAGCTATTTTGTCTATTCCTGTTACACCAATAAAAGTATTCAAATCACAAGAAGCCATTATTTGTTTGTTTTTTTTAAACTACACATGCTGAGATAGGAGAGTGAAATAAACGACAGAGAAAATGGTCTTTAAACAGAGTTTTATGACAGTTCATTATTAGTCAAAGTGACATTTGCTAAAGAAATGACACAGAAAGCACTTTTCACAATAACAGGAAAACAACAATCTCTGAAAAGTAATCTTAAATAATGTCTGTAACCCCCTTTTAAAAACCAAGGCTATTAGGATTATTTCTTAGTTTAATAACTATTAACGATAAGAAAATAATGTAACAGTAGCATATTGTTACTAAAATAAATAATACAACAGTTAACCTAAACATGTAAAACAGAACCATTTTAATCTTAACTTGTCTTGCTATTTTTTCCAAATTTTGTTTCAGAGAAGAATATTAACTCTTTGGAGACCTTTGAGGACATTTAACTTTCTTCTACATGAAGCTCACAATCTAAGCTGCTGAAGCATCGACATAAGGTGCAAACATGAACATATTCAAAAAGGCACAGGCATCCAGATTAACATTTATATTCACATTGTTTCATCGAAACAGAACACTCATTTCAGGATAGCTACAAGTTGTAACATCTGTCTAAAAAAGGTGTCGGTAATCTTAAATCTAAAGTGCAAGAGTCTGTAATATTAAACTAGCTGTCATTTCTCTGCCTTGAGTTCCTTGAATTTCTAATTAACACATGACACTAAGCTGAAACAGCAGAAATGAACATGGCAGCAACATATGCAAAGTCAAGAGAAAAATATAGGCTACAGCACTTCACTTGCTACAGTTTAAGCTCTTGCAAATGCTTACATAGTTCCTAAAAGATATCTTTAAAAAAAAAAAAAAAAAAAAAAAGGAACTTGCTTCACCAGTGAATTGGCAAACTTGTTATATGTGCCTGATTTGTTTGTATTATTCACACAGCTTTAGTCTTGGTCAGGAACATTATTACAAATAAATAATACTGACACCAAGTCAGAAATTACAAAAAACAAACAAAATGTTATGGTTGTGCCAGTGCTCGGAACTCTCACTGTGAGCTACCCAGCTGCTGTTTCAGAAGAGAAGATGTTCGTATTTACACTTCTTCACAAAAGAGTCATCTTCTCATCCACTTTCATTTATGAACCGATATAAAAACAAAGTATATTTTAAAAAATGGACAAGACACTGTCCTGTCAATCCAAGATCTCAGTAACGAGGAAACTGAATCACAGGCTACATATATCCACACCAGGTTTTCTATTTGATTCATAAAGTAAAAATTTTGCTTACATTTTCTCTAAAGCCGTCACATTCAGGGCATGTATGTGGAGTTAACCCCATGTGCCCTCACATGTGATGTATACATGCGTTATGCAATTAGGAGTTCAACATATAGAAGCCATAGCCCTATTGCAAGTCATACTTGCGATTTTGAAATAGCAGAGGCAAGAAAATTCATTATAGGCAAGGGTTTTAGATGTAAGCATGCTTCTTAACTGCCACTCCCTATTAACGTGTGCTCCGGCTTTACACCAGACCAGCAGTTCTGAATATTGAGATGATTGGTGCTGTCCTGATAAAAGCATGAAAGTTTATAGTTTTGTTTAGTTTAAAATTATTGTTTGTTTAGTTATAATGCTATAAATACTGTTTCACACCAAGTAAACTGTTACTACAAAAATTTTCACATTCAATAAATCATCTTGTGACTCACTGATTGAGAACCGCTGGTCATGTCCCTTGATATATTAGGCAGGCACACTCTGAGCTTTCGCTCCACACTGCTTCTTGTCTGTGTGCTGCAGAGAGAGCTGCAGTTTAGTCCAGAGCTGCGGGTCTCCGCTACTCAGAGCCTCCAGCAGCAGAGCCGTCTGCTCCTGAAGCTGCTGCAGTTCACCTTGGGTGCGCTTATTCTCCTTGATCAGCTGCTTTGTGCGCATGGTGATCCCCAGCAAGCCGGATTTGTTGAGAATGTTGTAGGTATTGCTGAAACGTTTCAGTTTGTTAGTGTCCACTGAGAGGGCGTCGTCCTGGTCAACATCCATCCTGTTGCTGTCAATATCTGTCCTGTATTCATCTGTGTAGGGGAGCAGAGAGCTGGTCCCTGCCAGCAGGGAGAAAGACCTGTCACTGAGTTGCTCCTGACCCTCAGCTGATTGTAAGTGGTTGTTTGCTGCTTCAAAGTTGGAGATGGGCTTGACGGTAGGCTGCAGTGCTGGCTGTGGGCTGGGGGAGCTGTAGAGTCTGTGGCTGTGGTGGTGCCTTCTCTGTCGCTGGTCATATCCTGACGTTGAACTCACCCTCACCCTGGAAGATCCCACCCTCTTAGAGGGCAGGTCCGCTGGGTGTGGGGCGATTCTGGGATATGACTTGAGGATGGGCATGTAGCTTTTGGATTGTCTGACATTTTCAGAGCCAGTCTTTGGAACGCTGTTGCTACCATTTGATACCATGGGTTGAAGAAGAACCACCTGTGACTGGGGCATCACTTCCAATGGTGAAGGAAAGCCCCACTGTTTCTCTGCTGGAGCCATCTGGGAAGGCTAGGGAGAAAAAACAACTTTAAGTGTCATGCTAACCTATATGTGAATACCTTTAAGACAATACTTAATCAATACAAGGAGCGTATATAAAATGAACGAACATTTAAAACAGCACAAAATAAGTTTCATCCATTACAAATGACAAGACTTTACATTTACACTCTCTTAGCTGACTTGTGCTCTACACAGGCAGACATACATCGCTGTATTTTACCTGCTTTAAGACAAAGTTATTCATGATGATCATTGGAGAGAGTCCAGCATATGAGCCTCCCATCACAGCCACCTGCGGACCAGCTGGGTCCTGGCCGACTATTGACCCATTCCTTCCTGCATCTTCAGAGTCAGTCAGATCAACTGCACTGAGGTACTCAGAGCTGGCATCTGGGGAAGGCGAGACAAGCATATGGGTCTTGTAATGTTTAAAAGCAACATATTAACCCTTCTATTGTGCACAGCACCTGGAGCAGAACATTAGTACTATGAAAACAGTGGCATATAAGCCTCTCCAGAGCCTCTGCAAAAGGATACCATCAACATGATGAGGAGGGCTAAGCCAAATCCAGGTCAGCCTTCATAGTGTAAATAAAAGTCATAAGAAAAATACAGGATAGCCTACATAGAAAATGTGACCTAGATCCCTACATTTGATTAGGTTTGACCTTGTTTGTGACTTGATAGTATTTTTTTCTCATCAAGGAAATGCTAATTATCTGCAGGTACAACCAGTTCACAACACTTTCCACACTGGCAACACTATGGTGCCAACAATAACCTACATTAAGACTAACACAAAACTAAAAAGGAGTATAATTACAGAGTAACGTAATTGAACCAAACCTGAGAAGCCTGAATCTCTCTCTAGGTCAGACTTGGATGCTCCAAGGTGTGTTGCCCGGGTGAATGACGGTGTCCTGTGTCGGTCGGGTCTGGTAAAACCGCTCATGTTTGCCTCTTCTGGAAAAAGGGATATTCAAGAGCTGAAAGGTAACTGATGAGATTAAAACAAGGCTTTGACAGAGTTCAATGTGCTTTCTACTTGAGTTCTGTGTATGTAACAGCAATACGAGACAATAGATTGGTTTGCACCCCATACGGACACTACTTAAGACTGAAAAAACTGCTTGTAAATTATTCATACTGCATTACTTTTATTACTACATTTTAGTGTCTTGTAGCAGAGTGGTTTTAGAGAACATTTCACTGACTGGATTGCTTTCAGTCTAATTAACGCTGCTGTAAATACTTCCCTCCCTAAAATACAATATCTCACTGAAACTGAAACTTTACATAAGGTAAGGTAAGGTAAGGTAAACTTTATTATCCTCGAGGGGCATAGTGTGTGTGTTGACCACACTGTTAAGTACGTTTTGCACATGGGAGAGCTTTCAAATCAAAACTCATCCACCAGCCTTTACCAAGATATCCCTTTCTGGAAGAAAGCCCTGTAAGAAATCTTTTCCCAGCTGTGTACAGCAGTCTGTATGTTGTGCTATTACTGTATACGTCACTAAACGTCATTGCTTGGACGTGTGTAGTATTTTTTAAGACCTAATTTAAAGAGAAAGGCTAATGCAGACGCCTGCAAATACTGTGTTTTGAACAAGACATTAACAGGTCAAAATATTTTATTACATTTATTAGAAAAGTTGTCCCCATGTATTGCATTGAGCTTCACGTTAAAGAGGCCTGTCAACCTACACAACCAGTCTGATAACTGTAACACATGCTTTTTAACCTAACCTATGTATTTAACATTTACCAACACTGCTGAAAAGATAGCGACCCTAACGGAGAAAAGACGTCAATAGTACCAATAAATATCGTAAGCTGTAAGTCTGACCGCGAAGTTATTTATAACTTCCTAATGACGCTAACGTCACAACGTTAGCTTATTGTTTACACGCGCATCTGTCAACACTAGCTAACAACACTTAACTTGCTGCCAACATTTAATTACCACACACTAGTTAAATTCAACTCGTTTAAACAACTACGCGTCTGTAACTTATAAAAATGTCAGTACGTATAATGCAACATTAGCTAGGTGTTGCGTGTATCCACGACATACTGTCAGGTTGTTTACTGCCCTGCCCCTGCGCTGTTAGCTCATTAGCTGTGCAATTCTAGCTACCGTAGCTTTAGCTTGGCAACCAGCTCGGCGCGAGACTGCCGATATGATATATGGATGTTATTTTTTGCAAACCTTACCAATGTGGCCTTTCCTTAAAAAATATCCGTTTATCGTGGCATCCACGGTTAGCTTACGTTATAGTTTCCCTCCCTACACTTGTAACGTTGCTCGACTCTGATCTGGCTGCTAGTTACTTCTTCTTCTATGAGGTTTGAATGTAGCTTGCGTCCTTAATGTCGCATTACTGCCACCTACTGGAGGTAGTTCACTCCTACAGGGCACAGCAGATATTCCTAATCAGGCCTGCCCACTTCAACCTTACTCCAGCATGTTCTTTAATCCTGGTCCTGTTAGATTAAAGATTTTCATTTCTTCCATCATGTCCTTTCTCTCTAATATACACTTCTTACCTAACAGGCACATGTTTCTGGTACCTGTCAGTGTCCCCAAAGACCCCCTCCTCGGTAGCGGTTATAAAACAATGGTTGCAGTTCATGTCAAATATGGAGCAAATTGAGTATGAGACCTCCCTCTGAGGCAATACTGAGGGCTCTGATAACCATGGCTCACCGTGATGCAAGTGGTTGCCAAGGAGACTGGTGTGTTCTTCCGGGATTTTGGCAAGGAAAACAAGAAGGAAAGGTCATGACGACAGTGACAGTGTCTGAGGAGCCAGACTTATCTATGGTCTGTGGAGGTCTGCACTGCAAATCACACTTTAACCCATCATATCTTTGTTGTTTCAACTTATACCTGATTAAAAACATACATTACGTCATGCTTACTGACGTCTTTTTTATCTAAATATCCTTGTTATTGGCAAGGAAAATATAAAAAGTTTGTTATCTTTTGTTCAAACATTATACAAAAAGCCCTTTATATTTTTCTTGGATTGTGGGGCCTTTGTTTTGCCGTGTGTGCGGCCCCATAAGGCCTATGTGGCTCTTCAGCAGCGAGAGCTGGACTAAATTAAAGGGGGACACCACCTAAATTAAGAAATCCAAAATATTATTTCCATGGCCTAGGAAAGTTCAATCAATGTTTGTGAACATGAGCTGCTCTCTCAAAGCCAAAAACCAGACAAGTAAAAGCTGATTTATGGTTGGGCACTCTGTTGAAAAGTGTTGTGTGACAGAAATTAAAGAGCAGCATGACATTTCCAATTTAGGCCATACTTCGGCAAAAGGTTTCAGGCGTCTTCATGGTAACCCCCTGGGTTTTTTTTTACGCCATGAGTCTCTTTTTGATGTGTTTACTGAAGCATAATCTGCACAGACAGCTGTTCATAATCAAACAAATATCCCACTGTATGCTTGTTTTAACATATTAACAATATCTACATTGATTAATTTGCTTCCATTCTGTCTGCAGATTCCCCCTCACTTATTTTGGTGGGCTGGGAATACACAAATAAGTCAGTAAATGCAAACACTGTTGATTTCTTCCCGCGGCACTGGCATGGAAAATGTTTTGATCACGTAAATGTATGCTGTCAGTTCACTTGGTTAGGCAATTTGGCAGGCCTATAGACGGCCTCTGTTCTCTCAGCTCCACAGAAACTGCTGCTGACAGACCACTGCTTCTGTGGACAGAGATGCTTAATGCAGGTCGAAGCTAGTGTGGATTCAAAACTATCATCTCCATGGCGACCAAATGTAACACTATCAATCACATTGCATGACATAACAAAATTCTCCAGGTGTGTGACATGAAAGGAAAGTGGGTGCTCTCAGTTTCATCTAGAACAGCGGTTCCCAACTGGTGGGTCAAAAGTGGGTCACTGGTCGATTCTGAATGGACCGCATGTGACTCATGTATTGGCTTTGAAGTACAGTGAATTTCCAGCACAGAGGTTTTATTTTGAAGAACCGTTTCCAGCTGTAGAGTGAGTGACTATGGGACAGCTACTTCACAGAGACAGCAAACTAGCTCGATGACATAGCCAAATGCTAGTATGATGCTGAATATATTAAACTGTGTGGACCTTGAACTAATGAGGAGAAATCTGGCTGGAGCAGTTGGGAACCACTGCTCTAGAACATCTTCCACCATTCAATGTCAGTGGAGCAGCTCCACATGTATACCCTATGAGATCACAGATTTGAGTTTAAGCACTCTAGCTTTGGATTTGGGAAAGAGTTGTTCATTTTTACCAGCATTTTTGGACTGTCTTAGGCCATCGGAATAACACAAATTAATTTTGAAGAAAGGTGTAGTTGTCCTTTAATTCTTTCTACACTTCTACTATAAATAATACTTGTATTTTATAAAACATTTATAATTTCATAGTACACTATTGTTTGTGAGGATGAGAATGAGAAATGAAATTAGTCATCAGTATGGGTTAGTCTGTATTGAATAAAATAAATCACACAAGAAAAGAAGCTGACAACCATAACAATTTTATTACAAAATAAATATTTAAATGAAATAAAAATACTAACACAGTAGAAATGTTACTTTGCTCCTTTTCATAGAGATTTTCTTTGTGTAGTACATGAAAAAAAAACAACAACAACAAAAGAACATTCCTTAACTACAATCCCTTCCTTACTGCAGTGTTTCCAAAAACAGACCAAGGACGACCCGTGTGGTGTGGGCTTCTGGGAGTCCTCTGTCACCAAGGTGGACACACGTGTGCTGTTTAACAACACAAAGCCCAGAAATGCTTTTATATCTCTGAGAAACTTGCAATCACAGTAAAATAAGAAGAGAATAATTGCAACTGATACTCTAGTAGGCACCGATGCCGAATGAGTACTGCTTGAGCATATTGATTAAAGTAGTATTAATCTGCTCGTGCTGGTGTCCCTTCTGCAGCCCACGACACACGTCCTGGTGTGATTTGAAATAAACTGGTGTTATCTGATGTGATCCAACCCCCCAAAACAATAAAGAAAGAGATAGATTTCAAAGAACAGTTTAGATTTTTGACAGTTTGATATATCATATGCTTAATCTTCTGTGGACGTGTCTTCAGTTGATAGATTTTCTGATAAATATTGCTCTTATTTATGTCTGAATTGACAGTAAAACACTTCATACCCATGACTGGCCACATGGCACTAGAGAGGGAGAGGATTTATAAGTGACATGTATAAGATTCTAATAAGCTGATGTAGTAATTGTGACTGACAACACTGTCATACGTCCATACATTTGTGTAGAGCAGCTTTGAACACTGTTTCCACAAACACTAGAGGGAGACATTTCATTATTACATGTACACAGCAGCTGCACACTCAGTCCAACACACGCTGCTGTGACAAGTCAAGGCTTCTTGGATAATATTAACAAAAGATGACAAACTTTTTAAAGGTTGCTAGTCCAAATATATTCAGCTGTATCAATAAATATAGATTTTAAACAAATGTAACCACCTATAAATACCACAGAAATGACCAAATTAACAATAAGTGATACAGTAATAACTGGTATAAAAGAGAAGGCGTCATCGGTCTGTTTGGTTCAACATTGCACTGGCTCCCAGGGATGTCCATTGTGTCAGGTGTGTAACACCAGTGTTTCCACCAATCAGAACACACTTCCTGTTGAAACTTGTCATTGCAAACGCTCTGCCCATCAGCAGGAGGGCAGGTCAGCAAAACAACCCAGCTGTTTGAGTCTCTGGCTGCAGACACAGTATTGAAAGATGAGCGGAGGAGACTCTGGATGCTGTCGCTGGGTTGGAAATAAACAGTGAGCCACACTGCAACGGGGGTGGGGTGGGGGGGGGGGGGGTGGGCCGCCACTGCAGTTACCTGCGAGGGTTCTGGCACCTGAAAACACACGACATAATAATAATGCCTCTTTAATCCTGTTATTGACAATTGGAGATAATTTGAATGTCATTCATGTAAGATTGCGCCATCACCTGTCACATTCTTTTGGTTTTTGTCTGTCCTTTCTCTTCCTTCCTCTTCCTCTTTGCCTTTTCCTATAAGGGGAACAAAATAGCCAATAAGCCTCCATTCTCTCAGAGAGAAAATTATGTTTCTCATCAACATCTCAAAACTGATGTTATAGCAATTATTCATGTTCTTACCTTTCAACCTTTGCAACAGGTTTCCTGACTCTGAGGAACAAATCAATAAATTAGAAAGAACATCCAGGTGCAATATCATTTGATAGTCATTGTAAGTATTTGCCAACCCTGTCTCCTAGAAATGACGTTTATGTGCTACTAATCTGTTTTGGCAAATACATGTTGTGGGAGACATAATTGCTGGATTATGTTCACTTTTAGTCTAGACTTTTTGCAGATATGTTCAGTGGGAACATTTTGCAATTTGGCGGTAACATTTATCAGAAGTGTTTCCTAATTATGTTGATAAAAATGTACCTCAGATAACACTCATTTGCTGTTATAAATTAGTAGGATATAAATGTAATTTCTGGGTAGGAAGGGTTGTTATTGGCATAACAAAATTATGACTTGTTTTCTTACCTACATTCACATGTCTGATGCTCCACAAACGTCATCTCAACATATTCTTTACCCGGCTCTGATGGCCTGATTTTCAACAGCTGAGGGATGAAACCAGTTCAGATTACAGATAGAAGCAATCACAGCACATGCAGTAATGGATCACACAAGTGTAACAGCGACCCTTGTCTTACCTGCATGGTGACGTTTGTGGTTTGGGTGGGATGGCACTCCAGGTTTTCGTCCCCGCAGCAACCTGCACACCTCACCAGCGGCACACAGGCGGGGCTGTAGATGTGCTCCACCTCTGTCGGGTACTCCTGCACCACTTCCACCAGCTTCTCAATGGTCCGGCAGAAGCTGCGACCCCACACTTCTTGGAACATCAACACTGTGGGTGAGAGTGGGAAGCTGAGTATGATAAATTCATATTTGCATTGTGCTCTGTCCACCTATCTTTCTAGCTTACATTCACAGTGCAGGGTGCAGCCAACATCCACCTTATTTGAGCTTGTGTGTGATGCTTAATTAAGAAAAATTACTTCTTGATTTAAACTGCAGTGTTAAAGGAGCTGTATGCAACATGCAAAGCATATCTATGATTAGTCTGGAGTAGTTCTCAACATGGAGGTGGCTGAGCTGGTGCCAAGCAGCTAATGTTGCTTGCTCAATAAAAAGCGCCATCAACTGCATAAGTGCTGACAGAGCTAATGGTTTTAATCTGGGGAAAGCTGCTGTAAGAGTGCCGGTGACTAGCTAGCCATTGGGATACACTCACAGGGACTCACATGCACTAACATGCATGCTCCGCCAGACCATCAACCACAACAATGAGCAGAAAAGCTCAGAATATATCACAATCAGAGGTGGTATGAATTTATTCTCTGCTCAGGACGCCATTACTCCACTATTTCTTTACACAGCAAATAGAAGTTTGCAGCTATATCAATTCTCTGAATGTGTACAGAAACATAAAACCAGTTGCAATATGCCAGTGTGTATCCTGTTTTCATTTTGCAGTAAAATGTTTGTGTAATGTACAGAACACTTTCCTGTGGGAGTATATGTGTGAAAGAGTCCCAGTTGCACAGTCTGTGGGGGAGGAACAGGGATGACTACGGCCGAACAAACAGAGAAAGAAGAGAAAACAAACATTGGAAACATGGCCATGAACAAAACCCTGCTAGAGCTGGAGCTGAGTCGCCCCGCAGGCACTTCTGGGACTGCTCTGACCTCGGGGGTCACCGAATGGAGCCTGACACTACAACAGCTGTTTATAAAAGCAGACAGGCTGGGAGGAGACGGCTGGGGAAGCATCTACGGTAGAAGGATGAGGCCATGAACTATAATGTTGTACAGCACAAAGGGCCGGTTCATTGGGCAGCTACAGCTTTTGAGCTTACAGTATACCTGCTGCTGATTTGACCCTTTTTTGATATAAGTCCTCTAACCCATCTGGCTGCAGGTTCTACAAGACTTTAATGTTTGATTTAGCAACATTAATTTACGGTGAAGTGTGAGTGGGAGTAGATTTAGGGAGAGAAAGTAAGCAGTAATGAGTAATCCCTGCTGGCCCCGACATGTCCTTCGACCATCTAAATTCAAATCAAACTCATTGACTAACTTACAAGACTAAAGATGTCGATGTTCATATTTCTCAACAGTGCATGACAAACACAGAATGAATGAACACACCTCTGTTCAAAGGTATTTTGTCGGAGCTGGCATCCATTCATGTGGTTTGCATCAGACTCTGGCTTCTACCATAAACAAAATAGTTGGAACTGCTTTTAGTCAGAGGTGGGACCAAGTCATTGTTTTGCAAGTCACAACTAAGTCTCAAGTCTTTGCACTCTTGTCCATAGTCAAGACTGACAAGTCCCAAGTCCTAAACATTGGGTTCCATGTCCTAAACATGGGCTCTTAACCAGTGGTGTAGTGGTACTTGATGAGGTGGGTGTATTGCTAGGTACATAGGTTACCGATGAGGAAGTAGGCATACTCTCCTTTATATTACAATGGCTTTTTACCCGATAGGTGGGTATACTGTAACTGGATAGAAAAAGAAGTGGGTATACCCCGTATACCTGAGTATACCCTCCACTACACCACTGCTCTTAACCAAATGTGATGCTGCTTTAACAACAGTGTAATATATTACGTTATCAAAAATCATGAATACTTTGTAAAAATTAAATATACAGTACAGGCCAAAAGTTTGGACACACCTTCTCATTCAATGCGTTTTCTTTATTTTCATGACTATTTACATTGTAGATTCTCACTGAAGGCATCAAAACTATGAATGAACACATGTGGAGTTATGTACTTAACAAAAAAAGGTGAAATAACTGAAAACATGTTTTATATTCTAGTTTCTTCAAAATAGCCACCCTTTGCTCTGATTACTGCTTTGCACACTCTTGGCATTCTCTCCATGAGCTTCAAGAGGTAGTCACCTGAAATGGTTTTCCAACAGTCTTGAAGGAGTTCCCAGAGGTGTTTAGCACTTGTTGGCCCCTTTGCCTTCACTCTGCGGTCCAGCTCACCCCAAACCATCTCGATTGGGTTCAGGTCCGGTGACTGTGGAGGCCAGGTCATCTGCCGCAGCACTCCATCACTCTCCTTCTTGGTCAAATAGCCCTTACACAGCCTGGAGGTGTGTTTGGGGTCATTGTCCTGTTGAAAAATAAATGATCGTCCAACTAAACGCAAACCGGATGGGATGGCATGTCGCTGCAGGATGCTGTGGTAGCCATGCTGGTTCAGTGTGCCTTCAATTTTGAATAAATCCCCAACAGTGTCACCAGCAAAACACCCCCACACCATCACACCTCCTCCTCCATGCTTCACAGTGGGAACCAGGCATGTGGAATCCATCCGTTCACCTTTTCTGCGTCTCACAAAGACACGGCGGTTGGAACCAAAGATCTCAAATTTGGACTCATCAGACCAAAGCACAGATTTCCACTGGTCTAATGTCCATTCCTTGTGTTTCTTGGCCCAAACAAATCTCTTCTGCTTGTTGCCTCTCCTTAGCAGTGGTTTCCTAGCAGCTATTTGACCATGAAGGCCTGATTGGCGCAGTCTCCTCTTAACAGTTGTTCTAGAGATGGGTCTGCTGCTAGAACTCTGTGTGGCATTCATCTGGTCTCTGATCTGAGCTGCTGTTAACTTGCGATTTCTGAGGCTGGTGACTCGGATGAACTTATCCTCAGAAGCAGAGGTGACTCTTGGTCTTCCTTTCCTGGGTCGGTCCTCATGTGTGCCAGTTTCGTTGTAGCGCTTGATGGTTTTTGCGACTCCACTTGGGGACACATTTAAAGTTTTTGCAATTTTCCGGACTGACTGACCTTCATTTCTTAAAGTAATGATGGCCACTCGTTTTTCTTTAGTTAGCTGATTGGTTCTTGCCATAATATGAATTTTAACAGTTGTCCAATAGGGCTGTCGGCTGTGTATTAACCTGACTTCTGCACAACACAACTGATGGTCCCAACCCCATTGATAAAGCAAGAAATTCCACTAATTAACCCTGATAAGGCACACCTGTGAAGTGGAAACCATTTCAGGTGACTACCTCTTGAAGCTCATGGAGAGAATGCCAAGAGTGTGCAAAGCAGTAATCAGAGCAAAGGGTGGCTATTTTGAAGAAACTAGAATATAAAACATGTTTTCAGTTATTTCACCTTTTTTTGTTAAGTACATAACTCCACATGTGTTCATTCATAGTTTTAATGCCTTCAGTGAGAATCTACAATGTAAATAGTCATGAAAATAAAGAAAACGCATTGAATGATAAGGTGTGTCCAAACTTTTGGCCTGTACTGTATGTGAAAACAAGTTTGTTGGAAGTTGTTGCTTCTGTAATTTTCGATTTTGTACATTAACAAAATTACCTTTAGTATCATTTTTATTCCAGCAGGTCCTCAGTAACGTGAAGTCACTGAGGGCCTGAGGGCTGAACAAAGTTGACAGCATCCAGTCGAAGTGGTTCAAACAAAGTGGATCACCTGGGAAATTAAGTGTCGGCTTGCTGGGATTTAATAATGCTAATGTTGGTTGAGTAGGGAAATGAAGGGAAATGAATTGGGGCACACTTTTTAAATAACATACTTATTAATTGTGGGGCTTGGGGGAAGGTATCAATTATATTTTCAGCTCAAAAGGCTCAAGTCTGACTGCCGTCATAAGTCATTGGTGTTAAAGTCTTTCATTGTGTCATGTCATCAAATATGTGACTCAAGTCTGATTCAAGTCCAAGTCATGTGGCTCCAGTCCACACCTCTGCTTTAGTCATTTACTCTTGTTGACTCTCTTGCTATAAAATATGGTATCATAAGGAACTACCCCCTCATCACTCACAGAAGATTTAAGAAATAAATGCATGAAACATGCTGGAATCCTTACCTTCAGTTGTATTGGTTATGCTTGCCACGGGAAGACTCTGCAAAACAGAAAGAAATATGTGGATTATTTTTTCAGGTTTACTGCAACTACATAGCATAGTGTAAAACCCTTAATCATTTTAGTGCATCCAATTCAAATGGTTCACACGTTAATAATGGCAAACACATATAAAATAACATGCACCAGCCTTACAGTTAAATACCAATATCTATAGGTGTACATTTCAGGGGGGCGCAGGGGACACGTACACCTCAGTATTGAGAGCATGTGCATTTGTTTCCCTCAATAAAAGCATGAAAGTAGCAGAGCAGTTTTATTTCTTACAAAATAAAGACCGATGCAGAAAAAGCACAAACTGGTGCACAAGAATTCACCAGAATGCAGGATATTAAGGTGGATGATGATCAACTTTTTTTGGCAGAGAACCTCCAAACCAGCTGTTTCATATGTGTACCCCTCCAATGTTAAAAATAAAATAAAATAAACCTATGCCATTGCCATTATCAGGCCCACTTTGTCCCCTTGTGGTGGTTGCTGGAATTGCGGTGAAATACAGCGGATTATCGACACCTTTTTTTCCCATCCTGTAGTGGAAAAGTCTCTCCGCCGAGCAGCAGATCCAGTCTCTCATATATATCACGTTCCTCTATGTGCCCAACTGTTTAGGTTCAAAACCTGTTTCCTGTGGTGTAAGACTCAGCTCTCTATTTATTTTCCCATTGATGGTTTCCCCCTCTGTCTTGATTTTTTCCCATCATCCCATGATAAACAGAGTGCATTTCTCATTCGCCTGGGAAAACACAAAACCTCTACTTGACTCCATCTCAGGAAGGGAAATCTAACGTTTGATAAAATACCCTCCAGCAGAAGAGCCGGACCGGCGACAGACAACCTGCTTCCGCAGTCTCCCCTCATCACTGGTGTTACATTACAGTTTTTGTGTAACACACACACCTGATGACATTTATACTGTAACACTGTCTGCGCACACAGTGATTGTGAGATTAACTGAAAGTGCTGGACTGAACGTTGTTATATAATAGCAAGCAGACAGACAAGGACTTTTCCCAAATGCACCAATAAAGGACTGTTGCTTTTTACACCATCTGTCTGTCGCTAAAATACATCTACTTCCTGTTATGGACCAAAATGAGTTTGAGGGTGAGGATAGCATCTGTCAGCACAGTGCTACACTCTTTTTCCAAACAATGTGATTAAAGAGGAATGTCCTGCTTTGATGATGATGATGCATTCACACTCACACAAACATTTCAAAGCGTCTTGTAAAACTGTCACTGAGATAAGTGGCAAGGAAGACTCTATATTTGGGACAGATCTGTTTTCTCCATAACAGAACATACTGTACGACAATAGATGCACAAGAACTTCCAGTCAACCACTTAGGTGCAGTCCTCCCCGCATTAGGCAATCTGTTTAAGCATCTCCCTTTGAGTGGCTGGTGGTCATCTGAATGTACAGCTGTTCCTGAGACAGAAGAGCTGTTCTATAGAGCAGCGTTCATTGAACTGTGTCGGCTTTACAACAGCACCACGGGATAAGCTCCGCTAGCAGAAAGCTGCTTCATTCACAGCATGGGAAAGTCACAGTTCAGTTTAAGTTATTGTTAAAAGTCACTTCTCTGCGGGCATTGATTATATTTTTTTCATCCTCTCTCTAGCAATGCCAGGCTTATGAAATAAATCCTTTTTCCAGTTTTAATTGGCATATGATTTGCACTCTCTCTTCTTTGCCATTGCTGCTCCATATCACAAGGGCTTTTTGGCTCGGGCCTCTCAGTGGCTGCTCAGAATGTAGTAAGGTGGAGAGGATTTTCTGACCTTGGTCATGGGTTAAGCCTTCATGTGGCGAGGAAGCATCGTTGGCACCTCCTGTGGTTGAGAACAGAGGAGTGAGCTGCCCACGAGAAACTGCCAGATTATAAAAGGCTGCATGAAGATCCTCACGTAGCCATTCCTTTCTCTTTGTGCACTTACAGTAATACTCTGTGATTAATGTGGACTGGGAGGTAATTCAGCACTGGTGGGAAGGGAGAACCACTTTACATCAATAAATGTGTATAAACTTGTCTAATAAATCACAGACTCTTCCTGAATGGTTGTGAGTAGGTTTCTTTCACTTCATTCCCTGATGACCTTTTTTACTGAGTTTTTACTCTCACAGTGTTGTGTGTCATTTTCATTTATTGTTTTCATAGTTTGGGTGTTAAGACCGCTGAGAGTTAACTGTGATTAAAGGTTATACAAATAAACTTCACTTGACCTGACTATAAATTTTTCTACACTTGGCTAATAAAGGAATTCCTCTACTTTGTGTCCTCTGCAGTGCATTTACAACATGTGGGATTTGGGAAATACAAAACCTGCTGCATTTAAAAGCTGCATTCCAATCTTGACTAAAAACAATAACAACAACAACAACAAAAGAAAACTAGAGAACTTTTCCCTACTTCCATCCCAGACATGTAAACACCTGACAAAGCACTTGCAACCACTTTTGTGGTAGTTTCCTGCGGCAATACGTGTTGTCAGGAGTGCATTTTGCAATGATGACACACACACACATACACAAGCTAAAGCAATACCAGCCGCTGGCACGTAGTCCTGACGTTGTTCTGACATTGTTCTAGCGTTGTTCAGGCTGGTAAAGATCCCTTTTTCATATTTCACAGGAGGACAAATACCTCCCTGTGTTAAGTTTTGCAGGCTTGATGTAATGTACAATCTTATACACAATATAGTGTTGTTGATGCTAGATTAAACATCAAAGGCGTAAACTGGTCAATATTGATCTATGTCAAAATTGTTACATAATCACTAGCCTGCAACTCACAACTGCTTTCAATTTTAAATAATATGTGAGTTACTTTTTTTAATAAACTGCAGGATCATTTATTTTAAAATGCCATAAAAATGAAAAATGCACTAACATTGCCCAGAACAACAACATCATAAACAATCATTTGCCTTCAATTTATGATATGAACTGGGAAAGGAAAGACTGCATATCAAGATTGTTGCTGATTTATTGTCTCGTTGTTTCAGTACTAAACAGCCCTTGAGCCAGAGAACTTCTGTGAAGAAGCTACCACTGGATAATTAACATGGTGGATATCAGGGTCGTGCTCGACCAGCCCACTCTTATCCCATAGTTGTGCAAGTTGTTGTCAACTCTTTTGCCAAGCAGCACAGTGTATCTCGTGCTTTTAACTGGGTTGTGTTGCAGATTTAGGGGGACATAGTTTGAGCAAGAGGTCAAATTAAGACGAGTATAACATCTATACGCAGTTAGAAATGAAACTGTGCCATTTAGCATTTAAGGGTTTGCATGCTTGATTGCAAAGCTGCTGTAAAAACTAGTCTCTTGTGTTTGTGAAGTCTCTGGTGAAAGTTTGCAAGCTGCTGGCTGAGAGTTCACTCCGTCCTCTGGGTCAGATCAGAGGACCTGTTGTGTCCCTGGGCTGCTGCTGTCAGGCCACAGAGGCTCGGGGCCTCATTACTCTCCGCTCCCACACAGCTGAACTGCGTCATCTTTAACCTCTTCACTTAACTCCATCTGTCAGAGGAAGGGCAGCGTGCGTAGGGAGCAAAAGCAAAACATGATGGGGATCCAGCATAATGGTCATGAAAGATTTTTCAACTCTGAGGGTCAAGCTGGGGAGAGAGGGGTGATGGGCAGTTCCACAGCAGGTACTGTGGCCACTAGCCAAGGGGATCTGGACACCAGCCAACATATTCCACAGTGTGTTTCCGAAAGAGAAACGAAGATGACTTACAGATGAAGTAAAGTAAGGAAAATCTCTTTGCTAGTTAAAGAAGTCGACGTAAACTCTGGAGAAACATAGTTGTTATGATTATTTAGTGTCATTCATAGTTACTCACACACACAGTAGGTGGTTTGCGCTGACTGCCAAACCAAAGCACTGTCTTTCACCAGAGTTACAGACAGCACCTTTAAGCCTAAATAGATTCTCAGTGATTTATTATTCTGGGGAACTTTCTCCTGGGTGACTGGGCAGGGAAATTACAAAGATCTGGAATGAGTCATCTTAAGTTTCTCTTCTCCTATGAATTGCAAAACAGTGGCAGTAAGAGTGAGCCATGTTTTGTTTCCTGGTCATATGAAATGAAAGGAAGTGTAAGACATGATCAAGCAATAGCAAATATCACAGTGGCACTCTTTCATTGTAGTTTGAATCCAGGGGAAATGCAAAAATAGTACACACACTGGTACAAAATGTAATTTTGCATTAGAAATATGTTTTTCATTAATATATTGTGAATATAGGCATAAAAGTGGAGTATCATAAAAGATTTTTGATCAGGCAATGATAAAAAACACTATCCAGCTTACTTGTAATGTAAGTCTACGGTGTTGGTTGGCAGCGTGACTGGCAGTTGGCAGTCTGCTATCCACAAAGTGGGAAATCATAAAAGACACTAAATTAGCTTTTTATGATGATGACAGGCTTGCTGGGTCATACCTCTTGCGGTTGACACATTGCCAAAAATGTTTAGAGTACTCTGCTCACAGCGGAGTAAAATCAAGTTTGTATTTTCACCCATTAAATCAACTCCAGTTCTTTTGGTTGAATGGCGGCTTCACAAGAACTTCCCCATATTTGGCATAGAGGAGAGGAATTTCAGTTTCAAATCCTTATTGGTAGAGGGGGAAAATTAGAACCATAAACATGTAATTGTCAACACTTAGCACACAAATATTATTCAGAGCAATACAAGGTGTCAGCTGATGCTCGTACCACTGTGGTACCAGTGAGTTGTGATGTTTTTATGGTCTTCTGACAAGGCTCCTTCATCATCTTTGACAAACAGCTTGCATGCTGATCACATCCAAGCTGAGTCAGCTGACTGAGAATTGAGAAACAGAATCTCTAGTAACAGGAAGCTACATGAGCTTTGGAAAAATGTCATAGTTTGAGAGTTTAAAAAATAAGGAGTATTATGTGCTTGGTTTAATTTGGACTTTTTTTGTGGAAAGTCCCTCTTTAATCTTTCTTAA